TAGGGAAAGGGGATATCTTAGTACTTTCCTGTAGTTGGGGAGTGTGTGCGAGTGAGGGCAGGATTTCCAACCCAGGACACCTGCCTTCATTCAAGAGTTATTTGAACTGCCGGACGTGATCCTGCCCTTCTGAAGACTACCTTAAAATAGCCCCCGGGGAAGGGGGGAGCTCCCTAGTCCAAATGAGGGGAAAAGGGGGGTTCCCTGGATTGGGGGAAAGGAGTCCCGGGACCGAGGGGGAGGAGCTCCCGAACTGAGGGGGAGGGCGTCCCGAAACCAGAGAATGGGGGTCCCGGGGCCGAGTCGGTCGCGCCCCTCGCCCGCCCGCCCCTCGCCCGCGCTCACTGTCCATGCCGGGGAAGGGCAGCGGCTGCGCCCCAAGCTGCTGCTCCACCGCGATCTCCAAGTCGAACTTGATGTGGTCCACGCTGGCGATGATTTCCTGCATGGTGGCGGTGGCGGCGGCGGCCACACCGGCCCGGCTCCCGCTCAGATCCCCTGCCGCCCTCACACCTCTAACCTCTGTCGGCCCCGCAGCACACAGTCCTCCACCGTCCCGCCTCGCAGCCGCCGCCGCCGCTGCCACCCGAGGGATGCTGGGAGTTCCCGGAGCCCGCGCCGGCCCTTTCGCCTGCCCAGACTCGGCCAATCAAGCGCAGATACGGGCCGCTCCGCTAGGCCCGGCTAGCAGCTCGCCGAACGCCCACCTGAAACCCTGCGCGCCGGGAGTTAGCGACGCGGACTGCGCCTGCGCAAGGTCGTCCGGAACGCGGAGACGGGTTCGCGGCGCCGCGGCGAAGAGACTGGGGTTGACGCGGGGTCAGGACTAGGGGTGACGCGAGGCGGGGCGGGGGTGCCGTGGGCTCGGCGGCCGAGGTGGGGCCGCGTTCACTGGGTCGGACCCTTGGAGTGAGTTCCTGTTTGACCCTCACAGGGGCCCGGGCTCCGGACGAAGACTGGCCAGAGGGGCAGCGAGGGTGGCAGCCAGAGTCGGAGCCGGGGGCGTCCGCTGAGAAGACCGAGGCTCTAAAGGCCGGTGTGGAGAGGGGGTGGGTCGGCCTGAGGGTCCCTGGGAGCGTCCGAGGAGGGGCTGGTCCCCCAAGGGAGGACGGCGGCCCCGTGTCTCTAATTCAGGGGTTAGTAACCCGGGCGGGTTGACGAACTTGGGGAGGAAGGAATTACCCCTTTATTGTCTCAGTGTGAAATTTAGCAAGTCCTTCGGTGACTGACCGAGTGGCATTCGCTCTGCCCAAAACGAAGTCGCGATTGCAAATGGGGATGAGTGTAAATGATGGTTGGAGACAGAGTATCTGCAACAAACTCCTCTCCAGTTGTCGCTGCTTGGACATGACGATAGGACTTGTTATTTAATGCTGGAAAAAGAAGCATCTATACTAATAGAGCATAAGTTTGTTTTAAAGACATTTTGGTACCTATATCAATATCTGTAATTAAAATTCTCTGTATTTTGATTAACATGTGTAAACCCTTTATTTAATGTGGTCACTTGAACATTTAAAATTACATACGGGCTCGCATTACGTTTCTCTTGGAGCTTCACCAGGTGCAGAATGGTAAAGGCCCTCTGCACTGGTGTCACTAGGGTGCTGGTCAAGAGAAGCTGTTTGATACTATTCATGGACTTGGGTTCAAAGCCAGCCAATGGCTTTGAACCCAAGCCATGGCTTGGGTTCATGAGCTAGTGGATCTCGCCCACCACACTGATGCAGGGCCCCCAGCAAGTCAGTCCGCTTCCTGGACCACAGATATTAATTTGTCCAACCTGCTGTCCCCTCTGAGGGCGTTCCACCTTCTAATATAACCAGACCTTAAAATGTGTTCATGCTCGTTATTCTGATTTTTTTTTTTTCGGGGAGCTTTCTTCTCCTTTGAATGAGTTTAAGTATTCATCTGTTTGGGGGGAAAACTTTTTGTCAACTGACAGAGTCCTTAAATTGGGCCGAAAGTTCTCAGAGTAGATAAAAACTTCCCCAAATTGTTTCTTAAGTAACTAAAACTATTCATATCCTCCCATAAAAATAAGTGCATGGCTCTGTTCACAGGGGATATTCTGATATTTTTTTATTAAAGAGTTTCAAATATGTAGACCAGGATCTCTAGCCTAACTGTGCAATAGAAGTATAATGTGAGCACGTATGTAATTTAAAAATTTTAAGTAGCCGCATTAAAGTTTAAAGATTGTGAAATTAGTCTCAAATTTTCTTTAGCTCAGTATATTGAAAATATTATCATTTCAACATGTAAAAAAATGTGTAGTTTACCTTCTTTTTTTGTACAAAGTCTTTGAAATCTGGTGTATAATTTACCTTTAAAGCATATCTGCATTTAGTTTAGCCACATTTCAAGTGTCAGTAATCACATTGGACAGCACAGCTGAAGCCCATTTGCCCGTGAATTTTGCAGAAGAGAAATGTTTAAGTTAAATTCCCTGTGCAGAGGCCCAGAATGCCAGTGTTTTTTCCTAATGAATGATAATGCTATAATTTTTTGAACACCTATTAAACCCCAGGCATTATGATAAAAACATCTCATTTAATCCTTATGGCCTTGTGGTAAGGTGAGTGGGTCTTGCAGCTGAAGGAATTGAGGTCCAAGAAGGTCAAGTAATGGGCCCAGTTACTCAGCTCTGGCCAGGGCTCAAAGTGAGCTCTGACTTGAGTGCCCAGTCACTTAGGTCGTGGCTCAGTGATACAGATCAATAGTTTAAGTCTATCGAGTGCTCACCATGCTGCACCTGAACGCTGATATCTGAGATTGAATCATTGCTACGGTGCTGTGTGGGTGATGTTATAGTTAACCCCAGTTTATAGCCGAGGAGACTGAGGCCAGAGCAGTGAGTGCCCAGGGACTCAAGGATAGTTGTTTGGTGGAGCTGAAATCTGAACCTAACCCTAACCCTAGGTCTACTTTCTAACCTCAGGGCTCGTGCTTGTGCCCACCTTCTCGGTCTTCTTTCTGCCTTTTGTGACTATGAACTCGTGTTGACTTTCACTATTTTGCTGACCTATGCCAGGCCCTGGAGTGGAACGCCAGAGATGGACCTCGTGAGACTCTCGCGGCTCTTCTCCGGCCCCCGCCCCATGGGATTGGCCATCCTGCACCACCTTGACGCCCTCAGAGCCACGTGGGCTGGAGGCAGGGAGGGGCCCACGTGGCCGAGGGCCGCAGGGCTGATTCGGCTAGCGCCAGCAGCCTTCAACAGCTCCCTCTCTCGGCTGTCCCTCGGCCCGCGGAGCCAGAAGAACACAGGCAGCCCGAGCTCTGACCCAGGACAGCCCAGCCCCACGGCCGCCCAGGAGGAAGGGGAGGAGGAGAGCTTTGGGACTCTTTCCGACAAATACTCCTCCCGGAGAATGTTCCACAAATCGACGGCCCAGTTGTATAACCTGCGGCTCACGGAACAGAGTGTTGAAGAAGATGAGGAAGGGGGGCTGCAGCCAGAATCACGGCGGGGCCCGAGAAACACCCCTTCCTGGTACTTCTTTCAGTGCAAACGCCTGATCAAGGAAGGAAAGGTAGGGAACCTTTGGATTCTGCTGCTCCTGGCTCCTGCTTCCACCGTGCTGTGGTATTTTGTGATGGGCCGCCCAACCTTCCAGTCATCTCTAAAGGGTGGGATGCTGAGAGCTCATCTCTCCTCTTTGTCTTCACTCCCCTCTCGGTGCTGCACCAGGCGACCCGCCAGCCTCCTGGCTTTCAGTGCCCCCTCCTTCGTGCTGCTCCCATCTTCCTGTTACCAGCTCGGCCATCCCATGGACTCCCCATCTGTGTATTCAGCTGCCTCCTCACCATCTCCCTTATACTTACGCTCAGTGGCCTGCAATTTTTGTTCCCAACTTTGATTTCCCTACGCTTTCTTCATCTCACTCAATGGTAACCCCATTATTCCATCCGCCCAGGCCACATGCCTTCAGGTCATCTCTGAGTCTTCTCTTTCTCTCACCAGCTCTAGCTTCAAAATTTGTCCCGTCCTAACTTCTCACAAGCCTACCCCTGAATGCCCAGGCCAAGCCTTCTCCTCGCCCCCCTCAGCTATTACGACACTTGTCTCTGGGCTCCCCGAGGCTCTCTCCACCTCTTTCCAGGATGTGGGCTTGCAGCATGCAGCCATCCCGTTAAAGCAGAGAGCAGATGGCCTGACTTCTCTCTCCAGCTCTCCCAGTGTATTAAGTGACACTGGGGATGTTCATTTCCTTAGGTATTGATAATGACATTCCGTTTATATTTAAAAGTCTCTTGGAGGTATATGTCAAAGCTTTGGTGAATGAAGTGACAGGATGTCTGAAATTTGCTTTCAGAAATTCAGTTTGGGGGCTTCCCTGGTGGTGCGGTGGTTGGGAGTCTGCCTGCCGATGCAGGGAACATGGGTTCGCGCCCCGGTCCGGGAGGATCCCGCATGCCGCGGAGCGGCTGGGCCCATGAGCCATGGCCGCTGAGCCTGCGCGTCTGGAGCCTGTGCTCTGCAACGGGAGAGGCCACAATAGTGAGAGGCCC